ATCTGCACAGACATCTCTTAAAAAATAAAGTCTTAATTGTGTATTGTTTCTCTGTTATGTTTTTCCACTTATTTGCCCAGTATATTAAATCTGCTGTACACGAATTGTTCATTCTTCCTAAACATAAAAATAAGTTAAGCTTTCAATACAAATATTTCCATTCTAGACTCAAAAACACCTCTTGTTTTGCAGCAAATAAAATGTTAGAACATAATATAAAAATGTGTAAATACTTATGGCCTAGTAGAACAGAACCAAAAGAGGGCAACACCACATCGAGTTGTTATTAATATGTTGTACTGGGAGAAGAAATACAGAATCATCAAATTACAGGAGAATGGGTGAGGTGGGATGGGATCTCTGGAGGCTCTCTTGTCCAACCTCTGCTCAAGCATGGTCACACAGAGCAGGTTGTCCAGGACTATGTCCAGATGAGTTTTGAAGGATGAAGAGTCTGCAACCTCTCTGGGCAACTGCTTCCAGTGTTTGATCAACCTTGAAGTAAAAACAAACAAACAAACAAAAACAATCAAACAAAACAAAACAAAGAATATACATTTTTTCCTGTCTAATAGAAAATTATTCAGATGATGGCTTTCACAGATGGCCACCATGAAGTCAGCAAGATGGTGGCAGTCCCAACTGCAGTGTCACAAAAGGGTACCAGGGTCACAGAGAGACACTACAAATTGTATCAAAGTAAGAAAGTGTTGATGGTCTCTTCTAAATAGATTGGCACTATCACAGCAACATAGAGCAGTCTTGCTTTCTGTAGGCCACACCTAGGACAAGGACACACAGTAACTTGTAGAAGGGACCAAGTGAAGTAAAGCAGAGTTTGGGGTTGACAAGGGACACTCCGTTTCTCAATATATATACATGAAGTGGGGGTAGGGGGAAGGGAAATTGCTGGCTGATGAGTGGTGCCACAGTGCCTGGTCCCTGAACCACCCTGCAGCTCCAGTTTTGGCCATCATCCCTATGCACATCCCCTTGGGGGACACTGCAGGCTTACTCATGTGGGTGAGGCAGACACACCAGGACAGCCCACTAGACAGCCCATCCTTGGCCTTTGTGGGTGTTTGGGTGGTTGAGAGGGAAGGTAGAGCAATGATGTCCTCTGGGTCCTTGTGCTGCACCTCATCAGCCACATGTCCTGGGTGGATGTGTTTGGCTCCACGTTGTCCTTGGGATGTGAATGGTGGCATGCCAAGTGCGGAGGGGCATGTGATTTTGCTACAACATTGTCCTTGCCAGCTAGTATTTTGGGAGCCCATGCTTGCAGTCAGGAGGATAGCTACTGCCCTCTGACGACCCATGGCTTCCCTACACCCACCAGTCAGTGGCTAACCCATTGGAGATGGTGTGATACTACACATTTACACAGCCTTCCTCCAAACTTCCTGACTTTGGACTCTGACTAGCAGGTACCAGCAAAAAATCACCTGACCCTGCACTTCCCAGGGCTTCCCAAACTCCATGGTTGCTGAGACCCAGATCCCCATCCAGAGTCCATCCCCAATTAGCTGTGGTTACTCAGGCCACACAGCACCTGTCCCACCAGCCCTATGGCAGGTGGTGCCAGGTGGAACGTGCCTCCAGCCCTCCTACTGGGGGCTGCAGGCAATGCTGCAAGCACTGCCCTGTGCAGCTTGTCGTTGTGACCAGAGCAACAAGGACCAGATTTTGGCAGCTGTATGCAGAGCCCTCAGCACAGGGTCGGTGTGGCCACCCACCTCCCTGCCTGCACTGCAGAGGGGGGCAGCAGCTCTGGGTGTGTAGGGGTGGGCCACGTCAGGACCCAGATTCCTTTTCAGGGTGGCAAATGTCAGCAGATGACTAAAGAGCACCAGATGGCTTGTCAGGTTTGTCTTCTCACCCTCTTCTCTCACTCCCTGACAGCACTTGATCACGATATCTTCTAGGCAAGCACGCTGTCTTTGCCCACATCTCTTAGGGCCCCCTCCCAAACACTGCTATGGGGAAGCAGAATTATTCAAAGCACAACCAAAACATATTCACCAAGAGGGTTAATGTGTCCCCTAAATATCAGGAAGATGAGCGAGGGCTAGTGGGGAGGCCCTAGACCTTGTGTGGTAGGGATCTGGAAAGCAGGCAGGGAGGGGTGAGGGCAAACCAGGTCAATGGTGCAAGTGTTATTCACAGGATCAGCCCATCCCAGCAGGGACTAACAGCAACAAACCCTGGCCACCACACCAAATTGAAGCAGTAGGCATGGTGACCCATGGTGTAGAAGAGGCTCCAGCCACCAGGCCCTGAGCAGGGCCTGGTGCTGAGCTGAGGTGATGCAGGGACCACCACTGAGGCCCAGGGATGCAGCACAGCTGAGAGAGAGCACGGTCCACCCTCAGGGGCAGGGCACCCTTCCCATCCCTCCTCCTCCGTAACGCTGAGGGCGTATTTGGCCTCTCTGTTGCTGAAGAGGCACTTCAGAGTGCTGCATGACCTCCTGGTGTTTCAAGAGCCTCTATTAGCGCACGCAGCTTGTAAGAGCCCTGAAGTTCTCAGGAGCTGCCTGGCTGGGTTGTCGGTGCAGACCCTGACGTCCTCGTTAGAGGCCAGAGTGCATGAGGTGTGCTCCTGGAGCAGATCCTGCAGTTTCACTCAGCCCAAAAGGCCGTCAGGTCACTGGCAGCAGAATCCCTCTGTGACACGAACTGTGGCAGGATAAGTGGGGATGATTGGGACCTTCGCTTGGAAGGCACACCCCGGAGCCAGCTAACGCTATTGCAAACGTGTGCTGAGGGCTCTGGTCTGTACCTGCTGCTTGCCTTGTCCAGTGTCCAGCTTTTAAGTAAAACAGGGCTTTTAGACTGTCCTCAGCCACTGATTAACCGGTCCTCAAAGCAGATTTTCGTGTGGAGTATATTAGGGTGGTCTAGGGCACTTTCTTATTTATTTTGGAAGTTAAACATGAATCAGAGTGCAGAGGGAAAAATAAAAAGGAAAAGGAAAGAAGGAGAATAAGGATGTATTTTTGCTACTTGTTTATTATTTGAAGGTAGACTTTTCAAAGATGAATGCCTGACATTTGACTATGCAACCTGTTGTCACACACAGCAGCCAGCAGTCACCAACAGCTCTCCTGAAACTCCCATAAACGCAAGCTGCAAGACTCATTGTCCTAACTAAAGACTCAGTACGACACCAGAGCACCACGAAAACAGCCAGAGGAAACTGCTGAAACCCACTAACGTGATGCGACAAACCACACCGAGTTGTGATATGATGTGCCATAAGTCACAGGGCTTTGTGCTCAGCACTCAAAGGCTTGTACACCAGCAGTGCTGTAATAACAAGACTTACTCTCCTGTGTAAGACTTACTCTACCTTTAGTAACCCAGAGAGCCGCCATGCCACCAGGAGAACTGGTGTGGAAATGCCTCCACTACCAGAAGAGAGCAATTTTCAAGGGGTTGCTATCAGGTAGATATATCGGCACCTCTTTAACAGACAGTTTTAGGAAACAAACATGATTCATGCCCATGTTATCCACAGGCACGACAAGGCTCCCTCTAAATGTCGTAACATTTTGCGTCGCCTTAGACTGAGCTGCATCTGTTCAGGAACACAGCTGGGCCGTAACCGCTTCCTACATGCCCACTAACGTGTCCTGTGCAAGCAGGGAGAGAGAGAGACAACTGGGATCAGGAAGGGCAAATACACATTGCCAGAAATTATGCATTTCCATCAGCACCAGGGCAGGCAAAATGCTGGCACCCCATACCACGCTGTAGACAATGTGTGTTTGTTTGAAATGCAGAGTTACACAGAATATAGTACATGTCGTGTTCTGTTTTCTCCTTAAAGGTGGAAAACCACCCTGCTTTCTCTCTGCATTACAGAGACTTACATACCCCAGCCTCCAAAACAGCCCCTCAGAGGCAATCGCCTTCTCACTTGATGGGAGAAATTTATGTTAGCTCTCCATGAAGGAGTTACGGTGGGAGGAACTTCCCCCAGCCAGTGGTAGGCCTGAGCACAACTCAGCTCTCATTGTGCTTTGATTTTGATTTACTTCTTTTTAAATCGGGGCTGTCAGGGGTACACTGAGCCTGCCAACTAGTGATACCTTTTTCCAGCTCATGCCACAACAGCATATTCACAGAGCAGGAGGCTGCAGCGTCCCCATCGCCTGCATCACCGTGGTGCCGCGTGGGAATGGCAATAGCCAAGTGAGAGAGCTCACGGTACAAGCACAGCTTTAATAGCACCAGCCGAAAGAGCTAAAGCAAAGCCTCCTTGTCGCCTTCAACCCCACTGCTGCTCCAAGGGAAAGGGCTGTACATGTAATGGGTTTTTACCAGCCAGCACCTGAGCACGAGATGTTTACACAGGCGCAGGACTGGTTTGTCAGCATTTCTGTCTCTCGCTTACACCGTGCTGTATTAACAGTCCCTTCAGGCTCAAATTCAGATGAATTTAAATTAGTTAGCAAAGTGACATTGTCCCTTCACAGGACTAACATCGGTAGGTTTCAGAAGCACACACTGCATACAGTGTCTCAAGGATGTTCATAAAACAACCTGCAAGCGATGTAGGAGCTGTAGGAAGAAAATGCTCCATCAAAACCAGGTGTTACAGGGCCACTGATATGGCCGTCAGCTTACAGCTGGAGAGAAGCCCTTGCCCAGCTGTAGAAGCAACATAGGCAGTTACATTTTGGGAGCAGCCTTCATCCTTTCTTTTCCTTAAATGCTTTCAGGACCAGAGTGGGTCTGAAAGCTTATTCAGTACGCTCTGCTTCCCACAAGCACATCTGTTCTCTGGCTGGAGATCAGTATTGCACACTGGTGCTGCAGCTTTTACACATAGCTGTGGGATTACTTGTCCATGTTATGATACTGCTCTAAACTTCTGCGTTTTGGGGATCAAGGTTTTATCATCCTGTAAGAGTCTTCCTCATTCCCCAGTAGCAGTCATTCCAGGGATGGGACATCTTCGAGGACTGACAAAGTACTTGGGACAATTAATAGCTTTGCAGAGCATTAGTTCATTTGATTAATGCCAAGCACACCCTCTGCCTATTAGTGCTGTGTATGTTAATGCTTATTTATCAGTGCAGAGCCATCAGCCAGCATTTTACAGCGTGCATGATTTCTTTATAGTCCGTTCCTAGAACTGTCCAGGTGAGAGCAACAGCATCCGTGTGGGTTTCCAGTGTCAGAGCCAGCACAGATCTACCCCTGTGCTGCAGACCTGAGCATAACACAGGGCTAAAACATGGCTGTGAGACCTGGGTACGGTGAAATTAAAATTCCTGGGAGTGGGGAGCCCCTCGGCAGCCCAGTCCAGCTCTGCGTGGTGTGGTCTGCCACAGCCCTCGCCATGGAGCAGGGACACGCTCTGCAGGTTCAGGCTATTCAGCCTCAATACCCTAAAGTAAAACATCCTCCCCAGACCTCACCAATGCTTCCAGAGAGCAGATTTAATCCCAGCACGCTCTGGTTTATTTTACTTTTAACAACCGCTCCCTCATTACTTTCTAAAGGGGAGGCAGGGAAAGAAGGGTCACTTACAAATCACTTCATTACCAGCCACCTCATTTTCTCACACTTTGAGGTTTTGAGGGGGCATAGGAGTAGCTTTTCTTATCATTTTTAAGTTATTTGCTGCCTTTATCTCCTTTTCTTGAACTATTATTCCAGTGTATAATTCAACTAATAGCCTGTTATTGCAGTGACCTTGAAGAAAGCTGGTGCTCTTCCTGTAGTTGAGTCTTCTAGCTGCTTCTTCTATGATCTAAAGCGCTTTTTTATGCTGTGTTAGGAGCCTGGGGGAGACGAAGTGGATTCTTCTGAACTATATTTCCACTAATGCCAATGTTAAGCATGCCTCCACATCCCTCTGTCTTCTCCAACAACAAGTTTGATTTCCAAAACTCTCTGTAGTGGCACAAAGAACTCTTGAATGCTCTTCACTTGCCATTTTTAAGGACATTGGAGCATTACTCAAAGGAAACTTCAGTGATGCCAGGTTCTTGTGTTGGCCCACCCAGCCAACGCACAGCCACGGAGCAGGGCACGCCAGAGAGCCTGTGCCAATCTGCAAATGGTGGGTGGCTGCTGGCTACCACAAAGCCCTGCAGGCCCTGCAAAAGCAACAGGGTGAGTACAGGCCATTTGTAAGACGTGCAGGTACAGACTCAGTTTCTCCTTTATGCAATACTTACATCTGTAACCCAAGCACCATCACCGTGCTGAGCAGCTGGCCACCTTCAGCACCTTTCCCTGCTAGGAGGTGCTATCCTGTCCCCTCCCTCCTTCCCAAATCCCTGATGAGCTGCTATGGTCCCTCTGGGGAGTCAAGACACAACACTGGGCAGCCCTTAGGGAGAGCCTGCCCTCGTTAATCAGGGACGATGCCCACCGCTCTAAGGATCAGTCCCGCTGCAATTAGTGCTTGGACGACTACAGAGATACCAACCTCTCCAATATCCCTTGAGGAGTTAATTAAGGGGGTTTAATCTCCACTGAGACGAAGCGGATCCGGATCTATCCCTGCAAATTACTTTCTCCAGCCGAATGACGCAGGGACCACCCAGCGCCCTGCGCTCGCAGAAGTGCCTTGTGTAACGCAGAGCCCGACTACCGACAGAGCACGTGGGCCTATTTATTTATTTATTTTCCTGCTTGTTTGCTTAATTAAAGCGGTCATTAAAGCTGGCTTTTAAAGCCGGTTCGCGATGGGGACGCGGGAGCGAAAGGCGGCGCATCTGCAGGGGAGGAGCGACCTCCGCTGGCCGGGGAGCGAAAGGAGCCCGGGCACCGCCGGCAGCGGAGCATCCCCGGGGGTGAGCCCTGGGGAAGGACCCGCTGGGCTTTCAGCACCGCAGCCTCTGCAGAAACACAGAAATTCACAGAATCACAGAATTTCTAGGTTGGAAGAGACCTCAAGATCATCCGAGTCCAACCTCTGACCTAACGCTAACAGTCCCCACTAAACCATATCCCTAAGCTCTACATCTAAACTGTCTTTTAAAGACCTCCAGGGATGGTGACTCCACCACCTCCCTGGGCAGCCTGTTCCAAGTGCCTAACAACCCTTTCAGTAAAGAAGTTCTTCCTAACATCTAACCTAAACCTCCTCTGGTGCAACTTAAGCCCATTCCAGGTGAAGAAGACTTTAAAAAGAAGCTGCCCCCTTTTTAAAGCGAGGTTCATGCCACAAAACGTGGACATGGTGACCCTTCAGCATGGAGGGGTGCTGGGCTCTGCCCTTGCCCCGTTTCATGCACTTGGGCCCGGAGCCTGCTCTCGCTCCCGAGGCAGGGCAGCAGCACTTAGCATTCAGCTCACGTGTCTCTGCAGCCTTGTGACTCTCCCTTCCTGGCTTTGATCCGGTTCCTGCAACAGTAATTAATTTCAGGCCCTCCTGCTCCCTCTTTTTTTCTTCCTTTTTTTTTTTTTCTTTTTTTTTTTCTTTTTTTCAGCATGCTATTTCTAATTATTCCTTCTTTCCTCGGGATACCTGTTTCATCTCGACCACGTTTTCCCCGAGAGCAGGTTATCTGGCTGTAGTAACAGCGTGTGATTTCACACGGGTCGCCAGCTAATTGCACGGCTGTGACACGGGGCCCCGGCACACCTCTCTAGCTCACACCCTACTGGAGCCAGCCCTCAGAAATGCATTTGCCTCTCCAAACCGTGCACACAATTGCAGGAGAAAACCACAGGAGGAAGTTTCCCTCGTGCTTCCTCTGTTTCAGGCAGGCTGCTGGCTCGTGGTAGCTCTGTGCCAAAGCAGTGGGGAGGATTTCAGCTCTGGCACGGCGAGGTGCACAGCGAGCCGGCGGGCGCGAGCCGCTTGTCACCGCGTGGTGCCTGCTCCTCTCGCTGTGTGCTGCCCTGGCTCGTGATCCTGCTGCTTCACTGACTTCCCAAAAGTTTCGGATTAGGCTGGCAGGATCGCAAGCCGAAAATAATCCTGCGTTAAGTAACAAACGTTAACTTGCTGCAGGAGATGCCGCAGGTATAGGAACTGCTGCGTGTACCATAGGGCATTTCGATGCAATTTCTTTTCCATGCCTTTTTACTGTCATCCCCAAGGGGACAGGGCGCTCTGCGAAAAGGTTTATAAAATTACGGATGGCGTGGAGAAAGTAAGTAGAGATTGGCAGAGTTTCCTCCAATGCAAAATAAATTAATAAATAAATTATTGGGAGTCAAATGAAACTCTAGTGGGATCAAAATTCATAACGAGCAAAGGCTGGGGGCACAGCCCTGAGCGGGAAACAGGCCCCGAGGCTCCGTGCCAAAGGATGTCTGAACACAAAAAGTTCCTCTGGCATCAAGGGCACACTGGACAGCCTCCTGGAGCAGAAGTTGTCGAAGATCTCTTAGACCTGCAGGATGGGGTTCAGCTGCCTCGTGCCATCTCATCTGAGCTGCCCCAGGGCTCCCCGCCGTACTCCGGCTGCCCCTCCGGGACAGCATCACCCGCCTGAAGCTCCTGCCTCCTCCTGGCCCCACGCAGATGGTGTCTTGCACCTCTGGGGAGGCACCAGGAGGCTGGATGTGGGCAGCAGAGTTGACCTTGGGCTCTGCAGGATGCCATGGTCTTCTCAAGTGTCTCAAGGTACTACACAGCGAAACAGCACCACGTGCCTGTGTTTAGGCAACTGAATCCACCCCTTCTGATGACATCCCATTCAGAAAGACCCTTAAAATGCATGGAAGCTGGAGTGCAGTGGGGAAGCATCACAGATGTTTGCTCTGTTCTTCCCTTGACACAGGTCTGTGGGTGCTTTCTGAGGCAGGACATGGGGCATGTCTGCACGGGAGCCCTGAGGCGCACCCTACCTTCCACTGTCCCCTGCAACCAATGTCTCCCAAGAGGTCCCTCCTTCACAGGAGCTGCATTTTGGTTAGGATGCTGGCCTTAAATGCCTACCAGGCTCTGGGACGTGGGAGTAGTACCTTTGTGCTAAACCAGGGTGTTAAGGGGAGAATTCCTCATTTCAAGTATTCTGCTTCAAGTGGGAGAAGACAGCATAGCAGAAAATGTTACTTTTGAGTACCTAAACTTAGTTTAGATCTAAGTCCAGTGATGTTTCAATCCCACGCTCCCTAGGCAGTCAGTATGACTTTTTCATCTTTGTTACTCCGCCACGAGACATGATTCCTTACTAATTCTGGTTACTTCCTTACATTAATGAAAGGGAAACATCACCCAGCCTGATGGATAACCAGCCTTCTGCCAGCGCTTCACTGGTACCATGGGCTTGCTGCGTGACCTTGTGTGTACTCCTCTACCTGCCTTCGTTTGTCAGGCTTAAAACGGGAGCAATTTACCCAGGCCCTAAGGCTACTGTAAGATTTCGTTACTGCAAAAAGCTGCTCCAGCTTGTGACCACGGATGACACAGGGGTGATGTGTGTTACCAACAGGACGCAGCCAAAGGAAAGGAGAAACAGAAGAAGCAACCTTTTAAAGAGTGTCTTTCCTCTCCTTACCTCCCCAACAATGACGGGCCTCAGCAGGCTCCCGAAATGCTGGACTAGATTTGTTCAGCAGCACCGACACGCTGACAGCCTTCAGTCACCACGCAGGGCAGCTCTTGTACTTGCAAAGATTGAAAAGGAGAACTCCACTGTTCAACCCTTTCTCAGCGATTGTTCAGAATGAAATTAAAGGGAAAGGAAAGCAAGCTGCGAAAAAGCTTACGACATCAGGAGTGGGAACAGGAGCTGTGGGGGAGGCAGCACTGCTGTCCCCACGCTTATTTGGCTGCATTTCAGCCAGCAGCACACAGGCAGCAGGGTCACATCCTCGGCCTGTTATTTGCAGAGACAACCACCTCAGAAACAAAACACTCCCTGTGCTGTTCTGAAGCTGGTGCAAGCAAAGCAGGCCTTTGAGGAGGCCTAGAGAAGACGACAAACTGCCTGCTGAAAAAGAGTTAAGGGCAGCACTTCCCAAACCCCAATGCTAAGGGGTGCCTGTGCTGTGCCCACTGATGACTGGGGCCCTGCACGACTCTTGTAGCCCTGTTTTCTAATAAACCAGTTCCCTGCTCCTTACACTTGGAGTACAATTCAGTGCCCCAAAGGGACCGGCTTTGGCCAAACCAGCCACAGCAAGACTGGGGAAACTCTGCTAATATCAAGAGAATTCTTCTGGCATTTGCTACTTCCCCCCCTCCACACTCCTATTTTTTTTTAAATACCTACTTATATTTCTTGTGAGCATCACAGAAAAAGAAACAGGCATAACTGGTTATGAATATAGTAGAGAAAATGGCAACTCTCACGTCTGTAAGACATGAGCTGAGCCCTACCCACATCCAGTCTGCACGGTTCAGACCTCACGTCTTTCCTAAGCTACAGAGGCTGGCAGGTGGGAATACAAGAGCTAGGCTGAAGCTTTGCACTTCCCACCTATCAAACCCTCTGTGAAAGGCTTGATATGAGATAAATTAGCTACATAATACTAATTTTTGATGCAAGGCGTGATGTTATTGCAGTAGGACGAGCTCTTTGTATACAGTCTGAAGGCTGCAGTCAGGTGCTGGAAATACTGCAGTAGCCAGTAAAAACTAAACCACAGAGAAGATGAACATGTGAACACAGCCAAACATCACACATTAAAGAGAGGTTATGGCTTTTAAAATAAAAGTTCATACTTGTTCACGTTTGTTCTCAGGTAAACTCACAAGCAAGCATTAGCATGCTTTTCACTCTTGTTTCGTTAGAAGATGAAGTTTCACACGTTTGGGGAAAAGCGTTGATAGTTAGACTTGAATATATTATTTTAATATGGCTTAGGCTGCTAAAGCAGGGAGAGTGATCCTGCAGGCTTCACCTGCCAGAAGCCATGCTCCTGCTTGCTGTCACCGAGAAGGACCTGTCTTGGAGCACACATGTACACATACCAGCTGTTTTTTTTTTTCCTCCAGTATTTTATTTCTGACAGGCATTTACAACGTTCCATTCATAGAACTAAAAACATAAAAATAGACCTTCTTTCAGCTTATAAAAGAAATATATAAGAACCTTTGACATAGACATGTCATGACATTATGTACAAGAACAACGGTACCTTTCCAGTACCAGCCTTCCAGTATTCCAGAACTGACTGTATTCCGCTGGGTACAGCACAGGACAGCTAAAACCTCTGCTTTTCTAGTATGCTGGGACACAACTGACAGGTGGGTGATATAAAACAATGGCGTGATAATACAAAGGGTATAGAAACCTTTCTAAAGCTTTTTACGAAAAGAAATGAGAGGATAGCAAAAAGTTTAAGAGAGAAAGCTATCGTAAGAACAAGTATAGTGCACCAGAAACCAGAAGGGGGTGGGGGGCAAGGCAGGAATGCTAGCTGGGACACAAAGACAGTGATGGATTTTGGGGGGAATAAGTTTTCATTATGTTTTAAAATATAGTCAGAGTGGATTTTATAAAATATAATCCTAAAGCTATTATAAAATTTCAGGTTTTCAAAGTACCTACCAATGTGTCAAACATCAATAGATACCAAAAAAAAGAAAACTTCATATAATCTTCCTTTTTTTTTTCCATAGGTGAAACTGAAATGGGAAAAGCTATATAAATCTTAAAAAAAAAAAGTGCTATTTTGTGTTTTGTATTTGGAAGTTACTTAAAAACCTTTTATAGTCA